GCCGCAGCGATTGCTGAACTGGTGGGTAACTACCCCTAAAAATCCTATTTTCCTGGAGCTCGAGGGGTTTCCCAGCTTTGTGTGAGGAATCTGTCCCGGCAGCATCCACCTTTGGCTTCCCCAGCTCCGCAGGGCTGCGCTGATCCGACGCAGCGGCGTTCGGGTACCGCTCACACGTGATTACTTCTCGGTGGGTTTCGGCGTCGTTTGGGTGCCGCAGAACCGGAGGGCGGGAGGAGGAAGCGTGGAGGGCATCGTTCCGGTGGAGACCGAGTTGGGCAGCGGAGGCCTCGGTCGGTGTGGATCGTTTCTTGCTCTCGCCCCGCTGCTGGCGTGAGCTTGCTGGAAAGGGGAAATCTCAGGAGTCGGTGGCTGTAAAATGTTGGCATAAAATGTGGCTGTTTTGGTAACAGCAAAATGCCAGCGATGCTCCTTTCCGTCTGGCTTAGTGGGTGGGAAGAGAGCTGTTGCTCTGTGGAGAATAGTTGATATTAGTCCAGAAGTGTAATTCTGGGTGTGCGTGTGGCTGATAATTAATTGGTGAATTGTTCTCCTTTGGGGGAAAATAACCCAACCCTCAAATAGGTGCGAGAGGCTTCAAATGGAACGCTTCCAAACATCTTGATCACAGAATCCCAGAATCCCAGCATGGCAGGGGTTGGCAGGGCCCTCTGTGGGTCACCCAGCCCAACCCCCTGCCGAAGCAGGGTCACCCAGAGCAGGCTGCACAGGACAAATGGGGTTGATGGGGTTTTGTGTATCGGCACGATGGGTGTTCTCAGTATCTTTATTTTCAGACTTGGTGTTAAAGGTTTGTTCACAGCTGTGTGAGCGGCGGCTTGCCTGGACACGGCAGAGGGAAGCGTTCGGTCTGCCGGGGAGAAGCTGAGGGTGCACCCATCTGCTCCGTGCTCCCCGGGCAGCGCGGGACCGGAGCTGGGGTTTCTGCTCCCCGTCGGGCAGCCGAGTCGCGCCTGCTGGGTGCGATCCTTCCGGAAGCGCGGCAGTGCTCGCTCGGAGCTGGGCTCATCTGGAACTTCGTCCGGGTTTCGCAGGAGGCTGCGGGCAGAGCGGGGCTCTGCAGCACGAGACAGGCTGAAGGTTGGAGGTCAGCTGCTGGCTGGGAGGAGACTGGGGAGCGAGGAAGGCTCCGGAGAGGAGCGGGGCTGGCCCTGTGACAGCCCACGTGTGGTGGGAGCGGGGTCTGCTGGGCCGTGGGCAGAGCTGGGCTCCACGCTCCGGTCGCTCTTGGCAATCACAGAATCACAGAATCACAGAATAGTAGGGGTTGGAAGGG